CGCCTGATGATGTCAGCATCGATGAGACTGGCCTTACGCGGAAATTAACGGTGAAAACAAGGCTCCCGTCTTGCGTGTTTCAAACCGTATGTTTCCTTCTGTTTTTTTTCTTCACTGCTGTACCTCTTAGGTTCTAGTTTCGTTCCCAGCAAGCGAGCAATTTATCATATTATCCGCCTTTGGAATCTGGGAGTCAAATGGGGGTCAAACGAGCTTTCACCGCACCACATGGCTAACTGAAAAGCTCTACAGTTACTCTGCATGTCACCTACCGTAACAGATCAGTGCTGGCGTAATCTTTTCCAGAAGAAGCAAGAGACGAAGTAAGCGAGGCGGTACTTGCAATTGCCGCCTGAAATCATGAATTTGGCCTGCGAGCGAAAGAGTGCTATACAACCAAAATCCATCTCCCTTTCCCATTCAATGCAAGAATTTTGAAAACTGCGGCACCTCTGAGTTTACCCGTGAGCTCGGGTTGATCACTGAGAGTAGTAATTACGGAGACAATTAAACGATTGAATTTGACTTACCTGCATGTCCTTGTTTGTAGCCACATAGCAAGGAGGATAGGAATATGGAGTGCAGGCTGTAGTGGTGGGCCAGTAGGGACGCTGGGTGGTGAAGTAAGGCGGTTGAGTGGGAGGTTTGTAGGGAGGTAGAGTAGGCCAGTACGGCGGTTGAGTGGGAGGTTTGTAGGGAGGTAGAGTAGGCCAGTACGGCGGTTGAGTGGGAGGTTTGTAAGGTGGTAGAGTGGGAATGTAGGGCGGTTGGGTAGGAGGTCTGTATGGAGGTAATGTAGGTGGGTTATAGGGAGGAAAACCAGGAGGACCCGGAGGCTGAGCCTGAAAGTAGAATTTCATTGATGACTCGTACAGTAAACAATGTAAACAGACAGTATTCAATTCTAGAACCATAAGGCTTACTCCGAAAGCCTCAAATATAGCACAGTTAGAATGCAGGAGAGCTTCTTATGATTATAGAATGATATCCCAAAATCTTCAGGGGGGGGCCGCGCTTACTCATTAATCCATGCGCCTTTCCTGATCATAAGGCCGATGTCAGACTTTGCGAATCCAGCGGTTCGCTACTAACGATTCGCTCCGTCCCCGATCGCATCTCGTACAGCGAATCGAGTCATTCGTGTACGTGACGCGACCGCCGGACGGTAGCGAATCGCTCAAATTTGCAAAGTCTGCATCTACCTAAAGTCTCAACAGTGCTTCACAAGAACCAGCATTCAGATCTATTTGAATTCAAGCTATAGCTGTGAAATGGCTGCCGAAGCCAAAGAAAAGCTCATGAGCTAGGTAAACACGATGCGCAGAAAACATAACTGATAGTTCATAACTGACAGTTCTGCTGAACTTAGCTGCTGCTTAACTGACAATTTCGCCCATTACTCAACACTTTTGCAATTCCTAACGATCTTATCATACCCCAATTACGACAGATCATCTCAACCCTGACAGATAACACCCTTTAAACTCAATGAATTCTAACGAACGTCACCTGGGCCGTGAAGAAGACCAGCCAGAGGACTGCCACCAAAAACATCGCCAGTATGGTAGTGAAATGACATCTCGGAACACTTTTATGCTCATTCCGTCTAGTTACTATTCAGGAAGTTTCAAAAAAACAACCGAAACATGAAGGTAAAATGTCACACTGGCATGGCTGGGTTAACAAAAACACAACACCAAGCGGAATACAAATGTTGACCTTCTGTCATAAGTCAATCCTCTTAAGGTAAGCCATGAACAGCGGTTCTTTCTAGAATTGTCATATTATATTACATTCTACAGTAAAAGAAGAATTTCGGCATCCTCTAGATATTTACATATGAATAGGCTGTTTAGAAAAGGCGCTTGGAAGAATGGCCTAATATGCAACCGAAAATCTGTACAAAATCATGAAACAACCGACGTTTATAAAACACATTCGGGATGCGCCACGCTTCCTAATTCCATTCGATTGTGGAGGCATATGAATGCGATTGGCCCATGGACAGGCCAATGTATTCAACCACCTAGCAACCAACACTTATTTATCAGCGAGTGATGAAAGGCATGGGTCCGTATCTATTCTCCTCTCGGAGAGAAGAGACAAAAAGCCCTTTGAACTTTCCTAATTTTTATGAATGAAAAAGTATTCAATACTATCTTCAGCGCGTTTTTGCTTTTTCACAAATGCTTCGAAAAAAGCCTCTTTCTTGGAAGCTTCCTGGTTGGGAAGACGAAGAAATTTAAGGAGATTTTCGTTACCCTTCTCCTGAACGAGGGTGATGGAACGGGCTACTTGATTTCAGTCTTGGAAAAAGCGTCAATGTGGCATCAAAGGTCCCGCCAGCACTCTTAAAAGTCTCGTGACCAGTGGGTCCTTACAAACTTCAGCTTTTGCCTCACTTCAGGCGGCTTACCAACCCCCACTCCCTGGTCCCCTGTATTCTCCCTACTTCACGGATTCTCTTGAGCGCGATTCGATCCAGGATGCGAAGGTATTGAAGACCCTTTTTGAGAAATCGTGATTCTATCTCACCCATAATTCACTGGCTTGGGACCCATCGTTCACGATAAGAACGAAAAGAACAAAAAATTGCATTTGTTTTGGTAAAAAATTCGAAAAAAGGGCTGCTACGCGTTCAAAGTACCGCCGGACATCTGTCACAAATGCTGGCGAAGGGAATACTTCCTCTTGGTTCACGTACCAGGAAATGCTTTGAAATTCAGACGGAACTTTACAAGGAGACCTAGATGTATCAATAGAGTCTTGAACGCTGATTACAAATATGGACATTAAAACTGCTACGTGAACTTTATAAGAAAGTTACGTAATAACTTCGTAA